TAAGTAGGTTTGTCGAATAAGTAGTTCAAGAATTTATGAAATTATTAATTGTAAGAACCTTTTTCTGAACACGATTCGTAACTTATAAAAAATAGTTAAAGGACACGTTTTCCGTCCTGAAATCCCTCAACGGAGCCCAAACCGCGTATATTTTGAAAATCCAGCAGACGTTTCAGATTGTAGTGTCCATTTCTGTATTGTTTGTCACTTACATACCTTGCAAAGGTACGACAGCGAAAATAAAATAATATACAAAGGTCTGTGTTTTATTTCAGTTTCAGTATGTACTTTACCTAAGTAGGTTCTTTGATTTTAATCCAAGGTTTGCTTAAACATTACCTACAGTTTAGGTATGGATTCCAACATAGTTTTAAAATCCTAGTCATATTCATAATAGCATCCGCAACTGCGGAAGTTAAAACCAATTCAAGTATAGGTAAAGTGTGAAAAAATTAACTGCAAATATTTTAATGGGTGAACTAGCTTATGAAACTGAACAACTTTCCTCAAGGAACATGGGCCGGAATTTTTTAAAGATTATGATACGATACCGATACCGATAGATACCTCCCATACAAATTGACTCGTTCGGCTGGTAGGTACATTTTGTATGGAAAGTCGGAAGACCAAATTTTTTTTAAATTTTTTTTTTGACCTAAGTATGTTCCCTTTGTTCAGTTTCATAGGCTGGTTTAACCGCATAAAAGTTTTTTTTTTAAGGATAGCATCATTCCATTCGGTTCCTTGTGTGTGAAAATTATGCCGAACCCTCTCATACTTCACGCCGCGCCGCCGCCGGGACGGAAAAATTGCGTTGCTCTTACTTACCTACGTGCCAAGTTTTTGCGTCAAAACTTCTTGGATAAGCTGTACTTTCGTTCAGTAACCTTCCTTGTAGTAACCATACTTATTAATTCTTACAATACTCACAAATTCACAATTCACTATCTCGTGCAGCGAAACTTTGAAAATAAAACAAAACTATTACCATTTGTATCAAGAAGCAAACATATTTTTTTCAAATCTTCGCGCCATCCGCGCCATTCATCCGTCATCATTTAATAGAGCTAGGTAAAAAATACGAAAAATGATTTGTCCGATAATCGGAATAACCGTTTTTTTTTATTGGTACACCCATGGTACACATGTGCAACTCTAGAAACGTCACTATTTTCAACATGGCGGCTGCCAGATGTAATGTTGCCATTTGCTGTTTTTTGATAGAAATTTGACAATAACACCAATGTGTAATTTTGGACATATTTTGCTAAAAACTGCAGAATTTTAAATTGAAAGTTAGGATTTTGTACGCCTAGTAAGGTAGTTGTTTGCATTGTAGAGGCTTTATGTGTCAATATTGTCAGAAATTTTAATAGAGTAATCATTTTTAGAATCTCAAGCAAGAACTTTGCATATCTGAGCTGAAAACTTATGGCAACACAGATTTCTTATGTCAAATCACAGTGGTTTTGTGTGGTGTTTGCATTGCACTCGTTTTGTATTTTGCTGCAGATGTTCAGTAGTTTATCGTCCCCGTACAGTTTTGTAGGCAGTTTAGATGCCATGCGTGCCGTACAAGATCAAAGGAGCAGGTTCCGATCATCCTAACGCATATCGAGGATGGCCGCGTCGGGGTCGGAGATTGAGGAGTTCTTGAGTGGGCCCCTGGTTTCGTGGGTGAGTGTCGAGTGATCAACCATCCGTGCCTATTTTATTTCTTTGTGCGTAAGAATGAAGCGTGAGACAAAATTATCCAGCCGTTCCGTATCAATGAACGTGTGATTTTACTCTTATTGAGGTGACAATATTCGTAAGTTTTTGTTATAATGCTCGAGAATTTTAATATTTTGAGCATCTGGTTGCAATAATCATTCGTGTTCAGTGATACTGTATTTGAATTCGATTGTATGCGACTGGGTGTCCTCAAGTAATAAGCGATGTTTCAAAATGTTTTGCTTTTTTTGTTCTGTTTTTACAAGATACTCGGACTTTTACTTTTATTTACTAGAACCAGGTCTATGATGAACACAAAGTTCTGTTTATAATTCATAATTTTATTAGAAGTCTATTTGTTTTGCAACAAATTACATTTGTAGCTGAGTGTGATTAATAATTTGGTCAAAATCGAGTTTAGCAGAAACCTTGCAGCTAGTAATTAATATTATAAAAAGATATCTTTACTAATCTACTTAAAAACTCCCCATTGATTATATTATCCTCATATCTTTACAAACATAATAAATACCAATAGCAAATCTTTCAAAACATCTCACGCAAGAGCTATCACTATCACATTGTGAATGCAAGGTGAGGTCAGCACAAAAAGTGCCATAATTGCCACAGAAGTGCATCCAAGCCGCATCATTTGTGTTGTTATTGACAATATCTTGCATGCCCCACATTACAACCCATGGTTCCCATCTGGCAGCACAATGTATCAATGTAGAACAGTTTCTAAAGGAAAAGAGACTGTTAGTTTCACATAAATATTCAATATCTACTCTACTTTGTTGTTAATAAGTTGTATTGCATAACTTTCTGTGTTAAAAAGTTTACTTCCTTATTGAGGTAAATTATGTTTTTGCAATCAACGGTTTATACTTATAATTGTGTCTAATAAACAATAATTATGGATGAATGGCTAATCATTCATTTCTTTGAACTTCATGTCAGCATAACATGGACTTAATTGGAATTTAATAGCAAGATACACAGTAACTTACAAACTTCCTAGAAAGAAGTTTTTTGGGTGACTGTGTTACTTACTACTCATAATAAATTACTATGCAAAGCAGCTTTTGGAATTACCTAATCCAATCAATATAGTTTTGAACTTATTTTATAGTTTATGATAGTAAAAGAGTGTATTTCATAAAAGCCAAGCAGTTGCTCTCCATAAGTTTCCTTGTGCTAATCAAAACTACTTATCAATGGAGCCCTTTTAATTGTTTTAAACAGTATTTGTTCTCACAAGTCCAAGATTCAGTTTCAAGGGTAAAATCTAGGGGTAAAAACAAAACAAAACATGCTAGCCAATGATAACAATTCAATTAACAAAACCCATCTTCTTTTCAGCTAAAATCATGCTTGCCCAATCCAGAATACATCACCGACTACCTGTCTCTTTCCACCGGAGACATTTTACACCAAGTGTACCTCCAGATAGACCCAGAGCCATCCTGCCACATCACAAAACTGGCTGGTCTCGAAGACCAAGCATTAACTTTAGGGAAGATCAAAAACTTCGATGCCATTATCAAAAATGTCAAAAGCCTTTATGAAGAGGAGCTGGGCATGACCCTGCTAGTGGTTCCAGAATGCATATGCTTAGGTAAAGCTCCGGAGTCTCGCGAGGGTCTAGAGAATATGAAATTGCTGATATTATTACTCTTGGGTGCGGCCGTGCAATGTCCCAATAAAGAGCTATTCATCACAAGGATTAAAGAACTGGATTTGGAGTTGCAGCATAGCATTGTGGAATGCATAAAGCAGGTTAGTTGTAGTTATTAATTAAGGTCATCCTTTAGTGTAACAGCATATTTCGGTAATAAACCAGATTGCTTAAACTAATCAGGATTTGGTATAGGTAATACAGTACTAGCTACCTCCGGATATGAAATTGATATGTACTTGTAATTTTATGTCTATAAAGATAAATGTTATTTTATTACACATCTTTACTTTATAGAGTTACATATCTAAAGTCCTTTTCTGGTTTTTAATCATGATTTTATGTAGATATCTGTATAAATCTGCAGTTTATTTCCAACTATAAACTAAAGCTTTCTGTAATCTTCTGGTTTTACGACGAACTTTCTATGGTGCCAAGAAGCTTCTCGCTTATCGGAAATGTATCAGTTTATTTAATAGACATCTTATGCTTAGTGAAACTCAAAGACTGAATAACTTTATTTATTTACTTAACAGTTTGTGCAAAAGAAACAGGATGTTCTAATTAAAGCAAATTAATTGATTTACTTGATAAGACCTGAGGTACCTTTAGTGTGGGTAAGAACTATTAGAAACAAAGGCTTGCCTGCACAAATTAGAAATGCTAATTTCTGGGGTCCTAAGACCTCGAATAAGTATACAAATAATGAGTATGGCACACATGAAGCCTAACTAGTTGATCCTCAGAGTTGGCGACTGCAGCAACCCACCAGTAGATTTATGAACAAAATTACTGGGATCAAATGCATTTATAGATGCTTGAGAAGCTGACTAAAAGAAATAATTTTCTTTTTCTTAGTCAGAAGGCATGACTTGTGAACTAAAAAAATATAAATGGGCCTCCTATTTTATCTTTTATGAGGTATTTTCTAATTAAAGATGTTTGTTGCTAATGTTGCCATATAACATTGTGTGTTCTCACATTTTTCGTTTGATCTATTTTCGAACTTCGAAGTTTACCATAACCATAACAGCCACAACAGTCCAAGCCTCCTCCTCTCGAAGGGTATTGCCTTACTCACCAGCTCACCACACTTGGCAGGCGGATTGGTGAGCGCAGTTCAAGATTCACTGAACTGAACACTGCTGGACGTCGCTGGATGATTATCCCTTAGTCGCTTTAACGACTTTTAGAATTAAGATGATGGTATTCTAAGCACCACACGGCATAAGTGTATTCGAAGTATTTCGAAGATTATGTCGATCTTAATAAAGAGAACACGGAAACACACGGGAATTAGTAAAGGTCTCAAGATTACTTTGGTATTGAAATTGTCGTAAGTTTCGGTCGTTTTGGTACTTTAAGTACCTACAACAAATACAACAACAAATGGTCTCGATTCTGGCAGTACATTTCCCCAGCTAACTGTAAGCTATACCTGCAATTTCTTTAAAAGAAAATACCCAGACATCGCATTCAATCTAAAATACTCGATTCCGTAAATACAAGAAAGCATGGTAGGTATTTTATACTGCGTAAAAATTTACAAAGTAGGTAAGACAGTTAGAACTCTTGATTTCCATAAATTGAAAATGAGAAAAATTTCATTAGCGACCGCCGGGATTTGAACCCGGGACCGTGGGGTACCGTCCCACAGCTTTTTGCCAACTGAGCTACGGGCGCGTGGTGGACCCTGATGAAAAATCCCAATACCCTTGATACCTTGTTCTATTTTGCTTATTGGAAGAAAATTTAAAAAAACTACCAAGAATTGGTTGTGGAAGTGTCCTGTCAGAATCGCCGCCTCTATTTCGTCGTGACTAAACCTTGTAATGTGTTTAACATGTTACCCCTATGGGCTGTCTGTATTCTGTAGGCAGATAATACATTATGGGGGCCAGCCATGCATATCGAACTGAAGATAATGCCATAGAGTTAAAAATAGCAACCACTTACGGATCGGACAATAACATACGCCATAAAGAGCTAGCTAGCGTTGCCAAACATGGAGCTAATAGGACTCCCTAAGGCTATGTGGTGCCTTCATAAATACATACATATACCACGCCTATATCCCTTGTGGGGTGGGCAAATCGCTAACGGCTGCAGTAAATGGACATTTACACCACGACTGAAGTACGAGAGTCATTTTGAATAACTGTGTATCACCGTAGTCAGCCTGTCGCTTAACATCATCACCCTTACGAAACCCACGGAAAAGATATAGGGTAATGCCATTCTAAGCCAGCAACACACTTGGCGCCTTCATGAATGTAAAAAATAGTAACTACTTACGATCGGACAATAACATACGGATACGCTCGTACACCATACAGAGGCGCCGTTGCCAAACATAGAGCTTACTGCTCCCTAATGCTATCCGGTGCCATCACAAAAATAAATTTAAAAAATTAAGTTCAGCGGTTTTACCCATTATTATGGTTTTCGATCAAATTAACTGCATCAGTAGGAGGGTATGAGAGATATTGATATTAGCTCTTACAAATAATTTATATAATCTGTGTAGAAGTTTCGGAGATAATCGATTACATTACATTCATACAAATAAAAAGAAAAGCTAAGAAACCGTTCTACGCTAGGCAATCTGCTTACTCAGCGTGGCAAGTTTTGAAAATAAGCGCCAATATAGCTGAGGCCTTACTGCCGAGTGGTAGCGTCAAAGAATTCCTAAACCCCTATCCTCAGAATTCTGCCACCCCTACCCTCAGGGTGTTTCGTAAAAGACGACGTAGAGTTTTTGAACTTGGCTACAATATCTGCCGACCATAGTAGTATGGTGGCGGTAATACCACGTACGATAGCATTCCTAAATTGACGTCAGGTAGGCGGCCGCTCGTAAAATTAAGCCAAACCCTTTTGCAACATGATTTTGTATCCAAACAAAACATGTTGCACCGACCCCAAGTAATTGGGATAAGGGCAGGAAGACAGACCATGATGATAGCGGAGGCCTTACTTAGTATAATAAAGGATATACACGTTAATTCGATAGTTGAAGATACTGATATAGGCATCATTTAGAATAATGAAGCACCATAAGTAAGGATCTGACTAATAATTGAAGGTTGATACTAAAATACTCGTTGTTATGGCCTTGGTTCGTACTGAGGTGACAAATTTCACAATTGGCTTGAGTAATTTGTAGATAAAGAGGTAAATACGTCTGAGGGCGTTCAATTTGAAGACGTGAAGTAGCAAGGTAGTTAAACAGGACCATAAACTGACCTACTACATTTACCATATCTCTCTTTTTCGCTGGCATGGCAATGATTTCTCAAACACATTTTTTGTGTCTAGGAGTTATGATTATGAATCATCAGCAAAAACAGTGAAGTGGTACTATTAATTTCTGTAAAACTGCATCATACATAAACTTACGAAAAGCTGCAGAAACGAAAGCTAAACATGCAGAAATGCGTTTGTGATTTCATTCTACTAGCTCGCTAACGTAAACAGAGTACAGTCAAATCCTACGTCTTCTTACTTAGCCAGTTCCTCGGCTATAACCGGCGCGTAACCTGTAGTTTGCCGTAAAATGATGTAACGCAGTGGCTTGACCTTTTAACAGTACGAGAAAATGGGCTTTCGATGTTTTTGTTTTTATACATTACGATACAAAAGAGTTAGCGCCACTCTTGTTTTGCTGTAGGTAGCTTATTTTAAAAACAAAAGGGACAAAATGGTTAATTTAGGTCGCTGGGTGTAATGTGATATCCGGCGCTATATGAGCTGGTTATACTCTTACGATATGGGATAGGATTAAATAAATAGACTAGTAGATACATAGTTTGTACAGTCTTCTGAATGACTCTCAAACTTTTGTCAGGCGTGGCGTGGTGTAAATGGCTGTTTTTACAGCCCACAAGGGATAGGCAGAACGTAAACCTGATATACATATGTACAAAATTCGCGTCGTGTTAGCATCGCTTATAGTTTAGCAAGTTCTTTAATAATTGTATATCTAATACATCCATATAATCCTTTGATCTGATCCAGAGACCTCTTGCGTTGTAACAAGTAGACTAAAAATTACGCAAGATTTGATCTCTACGGCGCCGCCGCACCAACCGGCCGTAAGGTTTAAAACTTGCGCAATTTTTAGTATAGCCTGGCTCTACTCATCACCTATTTATATTTACATGAAATAGAATAAAAATTAGTGACTGTAATTTTCCTTCTAGGTGACAGACATGCAAACCGTAGTATTAACACCAGACGCGATCGACCTGTTCCAATCCCCAACGATGTTCAACCACATGCGGAGGCTCGCGAAAGAAAGAGATCACTACTTGCAAAACTGGGCTTCAGTCATCGTCAACGAGGGCTTATATGAGAATGATAGTGATAACAAGAATGGGAAAAGTCGTTCGACTCAAAACGTCAATCAGAGTAACGGAGAGAGTCAACATTTGGCGGTGGAATTGGCGGATTGGAAGGCACGGTTACGGAAACAGAGGCAAGAGTTGTAAGTATTTCAATATACATTATTTTTTTATTCCAAAACTGGGCTTTAGTCATCGTAAACGAGGGCTTATATGAGAATGATAGTGATAACAAGAACGGGAAAAGTCGTTCGACTCAAAACGTCAATCAGAGTAATGGGGAGAGTCAGCATTTGGCGGTGGAACTCGCGGATTGGAAGGCACGGTTACGAAAACAGAGGCAAGAGTTGTGAGTATTTCCTTTTGCATTATTTTCTTCCAAAACTGGGCTTCTGTCATCGTCAACGAGGGCTTATATGAAAATGATAGTGATAATAAAAATGGGAAAAGTCGTTCGACTCAAAATGTCAATCAGAGTAATGGGGAGAGTCAGCATTTGGCGGTGGAATTGGCGGATTGGAAGGCACGGTTACGGAAACAGAGGCAAGAGTTGTGAGTATTTCAGTTTATAGTGTATTCTTCTTCCAAAACTGGGCTACTGTCACCGTAAACGAGGGCTATCTGAAATAGAGGCAAGAATTTTACCTAAGTGCCTACTTACTAACTATTTTAGTATTTTTGACCAAGTGTGCAAATTTTTTGAAATAAATGGATGTTTTTCCGCCTGACCAATTTTAATGATTCGTATTTATTATTCAACTTTATGAGCTAACTGGAGAGTATCAAAAAGCTTCTTCAAAATAAGTTCGTAATTAGACTGCTGTGTGTTTCTCCACTATAAAGTCATTTTCACTAAATTACTTCTTTAATGATAAGATCAAATGTGTTACATTTCGACCTCCATATTCTCGTGGCAAAATTGAAAAGTAGGTGCATATTTTTAATGAAATGTAAATGGTTTAGTTGCACCACAGATAACACAGTTGCACAATCATACTAAATTAAATAATAAGAAAATTGAAAAATTCAATAGCGACCGCCGGGACTTGAACCCGGGACTGTGGATCACCGTTCCACCGCTCTACCGACTGAGCTACGGGCGCCTAGCGGACGCTGTTGAACTTTTCAACCTCTTGATACTCGTCTTGAAGCGACGATTAAGCGACATCTAGTAGTAGTTTTTACAACTAAAAGCGGTGGAACGGTGATCCACAGTCCCGGGTTCAAGTCCCGGCGGTCGCTATTGAATTTTTCAATTTTCTCATTATTTAATTTATGAGAATAATATAGCACTGTGAGTGCATTAAAAATTCCAATACATTGGTTTAAGCAAAAAGCTTCATCATATGGTTTGAATTCCTACTGTAACGTGGACTAACCAAAGTATTTAGTTGTAAAAACTACTACTAGATGTCGCTTAATCGTCGCTTCAAGACGAGTATCAAGAGGTTGAAAAGTTCAACAGCGTCCGCTAGGCGCCCGTAGCTCAGTCGGTAGAGCGGTGGAACGGTGATCCACAGTCCCGGGTTCAAGTCCCGGCGGTCGCTATTGAATTTTTCAATTTTCTCATTATTTAATTTATGAGAATAACTAGCTGGTGCCCGCGAACTTCGTCTCGCCAAGCGATGTTTTCCTGTGTTTCGTGTTTATGTTATATTTATTTCGTATTAATAGTTTAGCCATGCTATTTGTGTCCCTCGTCAGGTAGGTAGACAGGCCATCCAGTGCTGATAAAAGTTATCATCACTTATCTATCATCATAAACGTTGATGAAGACCTTAATCAAAACATTTTGTCAGCCACCATTTCAAACATCAAAATGGATGCATGCACCATCTGGACACCTGGGTTCATCGGGTCGCTGAACGACTTGGTGTCCCACACGAAAAGAAGTTTCCCTCCAATTATTTTTCAGGGTTTATTACCTAAAGGGTACCCAGTTACTGATACTTCACTGTCTGTTTGTTCATCCATCTATCACCAGTGGCTTATGCAACGAAACTATAGGCTACAATTCTACAGGTGAAATTCGATGTACATTGCGTAGCCGATTAGCAATTATGATTTCATTAATAAACCGGCTACGCAATGTACATCGAATTTTGCCTGTAGAATGCCTGTAGTTTAGAAAAATCGGGTACAGGAGGCTGTATCTCATAAACCGTGATAGTTAAAGATGAAATTTTCTCAAATGTCATATTTCTGCTGCCGCTATAAAAACAATTAATACTTAAGGATAAACGTCAGAGCAGATTTCCATACAAATTTTAATCGGCAAAGACAGAAAAACTACCCTGTTTCATACATGGAATATAGTGGTATAACGCAAATTAGACCATT